TCACGCAGATTCATGGGTGGGAACAAGCCCTGCAGTTACGCAGATTCATGGGTGGGAACAAGCCCCCATCACGCAGATTCATGGGTGGGAACAAGACCCCCCTCACACAGATTCATGTATGGGAACAAGCCCCCCATCACACAGATTCATGTGGGGGAACAAACCCCCGTCACACAGATTCATGGGTGGGAACAAGCCCCACAGTCACACAGATTCATGGGTGGGAACAAGCCCCACAGTCACACAGATTCATGGGTGGGAACAAGCCCCGCAGTCACACAGATTCATGGGTTGGGAACAAGCCCCCTGTCACACAGATTCAGGGGTGGGAACAAGCCCCCCGTCACGCAGATTCATGGGTGGGAAATCTGGAGCACTTGGCACAGCACCCGGCTCCCTGTAAGTGTGCAGGAATGGGATTTGCCCTTCTGTTACACAATCACAGGTGTGTCAGGCCCTCCTCAGTTCCCGAGGCTGTACCTGCCACCTTCCCCTCTCTGAATGAGCTCTGAGCAGCACACTTGCCCTCAGTCCATACCGCTCACTCCATTTATACCTCAAACCCTGGGGAAACCGAGGCTTCTAAAGAGACTGCTCCATGAGAGGGGGGAGGGGGTGGAGTGGAGATGGGTTCCTGTCATACCAGGTCTTTCCTGGAAGAGAGGAAGAGAGCCTTGTCTTCTACTCCTGCCCCCTGCAGCAGACCCGGATGTTCCCTCTACCTGTCCCCCATGCACCTGACCACACATGGGAGGGCACAAATGATGTATGATCAGAACTCTCTAGCACAGGACCCCACACAGAGCACACCCCTGGAAAAGTCTGCTGAATGAATGAATGAATGAGGAAATAAATGCTTCCAAACCCCACAATTAGGCTGGGAATATTTGGCTGCACACAAATAATTGACATGCAAAGCATGACCATCCAGACTCCTCCTCACACCTTCTCCTCGTCTGCTCAGGCTGCCATGACCAATATCATAGCCTGGGTGGCTAAACCAAACACATTGATTTCTCATCATTTGGGAGTCTGGAAAGCCCAAGACCAAGGTTCCGACAGGGTTTGGTGTCTGGTGAGGGCTCCCTTCCTGACTTTCACACTGCCACCTTCTTGTTGTGTCCCATGGCAGGGAGCAAGTGAGCGCTGGCGTCCCCTCCCCTTTTATAAGGATACCAGTTTCTGTTCAGATCAGGGCTCCACCCTCATGACCTCAGAAGGCCTAACTCACTTCCTTAAAGGATCCGTCTCCAATACGGTCACACGGTGGGGCTAGGGCTTCAACAGGTGGCTTTTGCGGGACACGATTCAGGTTGCAGCAGACCCACAGATCATAAAACTAAAGCTCACTTCTGGGCAGACCCTGAACGTGGAAACTTCCTGGGCTCCTTGGGAGTTAAGGTCTTCTTCCAGTTTGTATTCCACCTGAGCCTCCCCAGCTTGCATTAAAATTCTGCAGCCTCACAGACCCCGGCACACTTGCTTCCTTGCTCCCCTAATGGATGCCTGCTTCAGGGCAGGATTGTTCAGCTGTGTGTCTGTCTCTCCAACAACCAAACAGGTGAGCAGATTGCTTTCTTTTCTCCATGAACCCTGGCACAAAGTAAGCCTTTAGTAATCATTTGGGGAAATTGAATTGGTTCTGAAGGGTAAATAAGCTTCATTTCTTCCCAGGTCG